GCCAGCAACTTGGTGGAGTTGAAGAGAGAGACCCACCCATGCTTTCAGACTCTTGAGCATGGTTTCCACAAAATTATGGAAGAATGAGGCATAGTCAAAAAGTTTTGCAGCCAGTCTGAGGCCTCAAGCAACAAAACTAAATCTCAACCTCTCTTTTTTTAAAATACGATATGGTGTAACCACACCGGTGTTATAGGTGAAATCTTGACAGATGATCAAAATAATTTTACATTCAGTTGAAAGTAGAGAATACTCTGAAAAACAGTACAGATATCACATGCAAAAACTTCAATTTAGCTAATGTTGTGATTAGAAGAAATTTATAGGATCAAACTGAAAAGATTCTGCACAGAAAATGAAAAATTATCCAACTGAGGAGACAACCTACAGATTGAGAAAATATTGTCAAGCCTAACATCTGACAAAGGCTAAATCTAAAGCATAAAAAGGACTCAAAGTACTCAATAATAATAATAAATAACCCTACTCAAAAAGTGGGCAAAAATCTGAATAGACATTCCTCCAAAAAAGACTTGAAATGACCAACAGATGTATGAAAACATTGTCAACATCACTAATCCACAGAAAAATGCAATTTAAAACTACAAAGAGATCACATCAAACCTGTTAGAACAGGTATTATAAAAAAGATAAAAGATAACTGCTCATGGTGGGAATACAACACTAGGTGGAAATGTAAATTAGAACACCACTTTCAAAAGTAGCATAAAGTTTTCACAAACAGCTATAAATAAAACTACCAAATGGTCCACCAGTCCCATTTCTGGGTATATGTCCAAAGGAACTGACATCAGTATGAGAAAGAGATGTCAGCACTCCCATGTTTATTGCACCATTATTCACAGCAGTCAAGAAATCTAAAGTACAAAGGTCCTCATCAATGAATAAATGGACAAAATAAATGTTTACATAGAAAATAAAATTCTACTCAGCCTTTAAAGAGGGGTAAAAATTGTCAATTATGACAACAAAGATGAATCTAGAGTGCAACATGTTAAGTAAAATGAGGTGGGCACAGAAAGACAAATACCACTTAATTGTTCTTGTATGTGTACTATTAAAAGGTCAAACTAATAGAAAGCGAAGAGTGAAGTTTACTGAAACTGAGGGTTAGGATGGCATCAAAGATCAATGGGGACATGTTGGTCAAAGAGTACAAAGGTTCTATTCAGCAGGAGGAATAATTTCTGATTATCACACAGCATGGTGAATATAGTTCATAGTAATATATCAAAGTTGCTTACAGTGGATTTTAAATATTCTCACCACAAAGAAATGTTACAGGTAATGAATATGCAAATAATTTCACAATGTATACATGTGTTGAAACATCAAATTGTACCCCATAAGCATATACCATTATAATATGTCAAATAAAGCAAATTAAAAATTTTAAAAAGAATTGTCCAATAGTATTTTTTTTAAAAAAAGGACAAAAAAATGCCCCCAAAATACTATATACTGAGCACAAGAGAAACATGTTAAATTCAAAAACACCAACAGGTTGAAAGTTGGTGGATGGGAAAATATATACAACATAAACAGAAAAATAACACAGATAGACCGACTGACCACACTAATATAAAAAAAATAAATAAAACAAAAATGTTACTGGGAATAAAGAGGGTGATTTTATGACAAAAGTGTCAGCTATGAGGACACCATAATAATTATAGGTAGACATGCACCAAACAAATAAGCCCAACATCAAATAAAAGAGAAATTAAGGGAGAGACAGACAGTTCTATATATTCAGCAATGCCAAGTGCAACTTTTGACTATCTACTCAAAAGTTTCATTTTAACTTTTGCAACTAGGCAAAAGACTGATAAGAGTATAGAAGTCTTGGACAACATCATAAAACAACTTGATTTTACACATATGTATATGGAGAACACACCACCACCAAGAGGATACTAAATCTATTCAGTGCCCATGGAATATACTCCAGAAAAGACCATTTATAAGGCAACAAACTATCCTCAATATATTTGAGGATTCAAATCATAAGATGTATATTTTCTGACCACACTAAATTTAACATGAAAACGATTAGCTGAATATTCCAGTAGTTCACAATTATGTGGAAGCTAAACAACAAACACCCAAACAGCCAGTGTCATAAAATGACAGTAAAATTTGACATTGAAAACAGTAACACAACATACCATAAGTAAAAAAAAGGGTTAGAATAAACTTTACAGCTGTCCATGTCTATATTTTAGACAAGAATGATCTGAAATCAAAAATAACCTTCCAACTAAAAAAGTAGATAAAGTTGGAAAATTAAACCCCAAAAACAAAAAGAAGAAAATAACGATTAGAGTGAAAAATGATAAATGATGGTGCTGTACTCTCTGCCAATTTTTTCTTTTTTGTCTTTTTCGTGACCGGTAAGGGGATCGCAACCCTTGGTGTGGTGTCACCATCACCGCGCTCAGCCAGTGAGCGCACCAGCCATTCCTATATAGGATCCGAACCCACGGTGGGAGCGTCGCTGTGCTCCCAGCGCCACACTCTCCCGAGTGCGCCACGGGGCGGGCCCTCTCTGTGAACTTTTAAAAGAGATTTGGGGACACAATGGTGGCAGGTGGAAACAACCTGCCTGTTCAAAAGGACCCCACAAACCCTGCCTGCAGCCACACCAAGGCTCTGAGGGCAGATAGGTAGTCACCAAAGATTCTAGAAGATTCCTTAAGTGAAAACAGGCTCTGGGGCAATCTCTAGGTCTGGAGGCCTATACACAAACAGAGCCATGTAAAGGCAATACACAAGTGGAGTCAGGATTCACCTGCTAGTGGCAAGGTACAAAATAGCACTCCATCACTTCAAATAGAAACATAAGAAATTTCTCAGGTACAGTGCATGTGGTACACACTCATATCTGTGATTTGGCCCTATTTACAAATATGAGGAACAGGGAAAAAGGACAAATATCCCTTCCAGATACTGCTTTTCCCTGAGTAGAATAAGATAAATATTATTGCTTACAGCTGTTTAAATATGTTCAGACAAGTTATTTACTATTTTGTACATTCCCATGGAAATGTTTCTATTCAACCCACTGACTGGTACTGTGTTAACTTCAAACATTAGAAAAAGTTACCTTTACTTGATAGTTTTGTAATACTGGTCATACAAATTTACCTGCAATACGATAGTAGAAAAAAGACCTATGTAGTGCTGTACTTTAGACTTAATATATGTAAAAATATATACAAAAGTTAGAGTGGCATTTAAGGTCAAAAATCCTGAAGGAAGTCAAACCAAACTATTTATTATACTAAGTGTACATATTTCATATGCAGAGTTATGCTGGGTTCCGTTAAGATAAATTGTTAATGAAGAACACACTTATGAACAAATGTTGCATACATGAGCAAATTTTTGGTGCACTGTAGGCTGTTTAGCGACATCTGTGCCTTCTTTCCACTAGATGGGGTAGTGCTTCATAACCTTCAGTTATGACAACCAAAAATGTGTAAGCCAAATATCCCCTGGGAGACAGTATCACAATCATATTTAAATATTGGTATACACTCAAAACGTTAAAAATAGGTTTGATACTAATTTTATTTCTATTTCAAAATTTACATTCATTACATAAAATTGAGTTTTCATTTCAAATTCTGACAAAAAACACGTTGAACGTTTTCTTGAAAGCTTTGACACATTAAAGATTAGATGGATATTTAACTTTGCCTTAACTATTCAATGAGGTGTCCCTGCCTGATACGATGTCCCATATTTATTGCATTGATTCTCCCCATAATTTGATTTTCCCATGTACTGATTTGGTTATAAAAGGTGACAACACAGGATTCTCTTCCCATATACAAGGACTGGTAACTGCTCAGAAAGTTTGTAAAGTCAATTAGCTGCAGTGGGCTGGTTGTTTTGTAATACAAACAAAGCACACATAGAATGGCTCAACGAAGAAAGAATTTCTTATATAATGTATAAATGGAGGTTTGGGGATAGAGCTGGGAATATCTCTGGTTTCTTCAATTCCTTCTATTTTAAGTTAGGGTGGATTTGTCCCACCTGTGGACCCCAGCTCCACCCAGGAGTCATCTTCATTCAGTCCCAGGGAACATGAGAAATCAGGAAAAACTGCATGGCATTTTCTTTCATTGCCGGGCCTGGAAGTAATGTTCATCAATTATATCTATGTTCCACTGAACGGAGCCAAATTAGATGGTCATACACCCAATCACAGAAGGCTCAAATTGCAGGCTATGTATACAAGAGAAAAGAGTGGTTGTATTTAGAAAACACATAGCCAGTCTAGCCCATGCCGAATTTCCCCACTGTGAAAATTCTCTAATGCCTGCATGATGTGACTCATTTTCTATTTTTATTTTTTCATGAGTGGCTGGTATGGGGATGATTGTAATGATGGGGGCATAACTGTGTCATGAGCACAATGCTATAAGCAACAATGCTCTAACCATAGCCGGCCTTGAGACTTTGGAGAAAAGATGTTTTCACACTCATTACAGTCCTCCTTCCAAGACTATTACACATCTGCTTAGCCAACCTACTACTTATCAAAAATCTTTAAAAATACAATTATGAAATAAATGAAACAATTCTACAAAAAAACAACACACTATAACAACTATTTACAGAGTACTCCCATTTTCCCCAACATCTTAAGTAATGTACATGGCAGGATATGAATTGATAAGACACAAACACTGCACCCTTTGAAGGGACTCAATCATCAGCAAATTTTTATATCAATAGGGAATCCTCAAAACATTCCCCAATACCTGAAAACAAGTACATATTTATAGGTCTCCTTAATGTAGGTTATCTGATGTATCTTGAGGTGTGACTTCTGGCAGAATATTTTCCCATACAAGTTATATTCACTGTGATTTTCCCCTGTGTGAATTCTTTTATGTCAATTAGGGGGAGTTCCAATAAAAGACATCATATTTTTTCCATTCATAAGGATTTTTTTCCTGTGTGCATATCCTGATGTCTTCTAAAGTGTGACTTTTTAAGTTTTCCACATTGTCCATTCATAGGGCTTCTCACCTGTATGAATTCTCTGCTGCATGCTGATGGTTGGACTTTTTCAGTTAAAGGATTTTTCCGTGTTTTTACATTCATATGGTTTTTAGTTTTACTGTGTGAGTACTCTGATGCACCAAGATGGATGACTTCTTTTTAAAGGTTTTTCCACATTTATGACATTTGTAGGCCTTCTCACCAGTTTGAATTTTCTGATGCCACCTGAGGATTGACTTTTGGTTAAAAGCTTTTCCAAATTCTTTACTTTCATAATATTTTTTGTGTTTGTGTGTACACCGATGTATCCTGAAGTATGACTTGTAGTTAAACATTCTTTACCATCCATTACATTCATAGGGTTTCCCACGTGGGTGCATTCTCTAATGCATGCTGAAGGCTGACATTTGGTTTAGAGCTTTTCAATATTCCTTAAATTCATATGGTGTCTCACTGTGTGAATTCCAATGCCTGTTGCTTAAAAGCTTTTCCACATTGCTTACATTCATATGGTTTGTCTACTGTGTGAATAATTCTCTGATGCATGCTGAGGTGTGACTTTCACAGAAAAGCTTTTCCACATTCTTTACATTCATATGGTTTCTCACCTGTGAGAACTCTCTGATGTAAGTTGAATGATACCTGTTGGTTAACAGCTTTTCCACATTGTTTACATTCATGTGGTTTCTCACCTGTGAATTCTCTGATGCACGCTGAGGTTTGACTTTCGGTTAAAAGCTTTCCCGCATTCCTTACATTCATATGGTTTCTCACCTGTGTGAGTTCTCTGGTGCATGATGAGGTTTGACGTTTGGCTAAAAGCTTTTCCACATTCTTTACATACATATGGTTTCTCACCTGTGTGAATTCTCTGATGCTTGTTGAGGGATGACTTTTGGTTAAAAGCTTTTCCACATTCTTGACATTCATATGGTTTCTCACCTGTGTGAATTCTCTGATGCCTACTGAGGATCAACTTTTTGTTAAAAGCTTTCCCACATTCTTTACATTCATATGGTTTCTCACTTGTGTGAACTCTCTGATGCATGCTGAGGTGTGACTTTAGCTTTAAAGCATTCCCACATTCCTTACATTCATATGGTTTCTCACCTGTGTGAATTCTCTGATGCATGCTGAGGGTGGACTTTCGATTAAAAGCTTTTCTACATTCTTTACATTCATATGGTTTCTCACCTGTGTGAATTCTCTGATGCATGCTGAGGGTGGACTTTCGATTAAAAGCTTTTCTACATTCTTTACATTCATATGGTTTCTCACCTGTGTGAAGTCTCTGATGCCTACTGAGGATTGACTTTTGGTTAAAAGTTTTTCCACATTCTTTACATTCATATGGTTTCTCACCTGTGTGAGTTTTCTGGTGCATGATGAGGTTTGACTTTTGGCTAAAAGCTTTTCCACATTCTTTACATTCATATGGTTTCTCACCTGTGTGAATTCTCTGATGCCTACTGAGGATCGACTTTTGGTTAAAAGTTTTTCCACATTCTTTACATTCATATGGTTTCTCACCTGTGTGAGTTTTCTGGTGCATGCTGAGGGTGGACTTTCGATTAAAAGCTTTTCTACATTCTTTACATTCATATGGTTTCTCACCTGTGTGAATTCTCTGATGCATGCTGAGGGTGGACTTTCGATTAAAAGCTTTTCCACATTCTTTACATTCATATGGTTTCTCACCTGTGTGAATTCTCTGATGCATGCTGAGGGTGGACTTTCGATTAAAAGCTTTTCCACATTCTTTACATTCATATGGTTTCTCACCTGTGTGAATTCTCTGATGCCTGCTGAGGTGTGACTTTCGTTTAAAAGCTTTTAAACATTCTTTACATTCATATGGTTTCTCACCTGTGTGAATTCTCTGATGCCTGCTGAGGTGTGACTTTCGTTTAAAAGCTTTTAAACATTCTTTACATTCATATGGTTTCTCACCTGTGTGAATTCTCTGATGCCTGCTGAGGTGTGACTTTCGTTTAAAAGCTTTTAAACATTCTTTACATTCATATGGTTTCTCACCTGTGTGAATTCTCTGATGCATGCTGAGGTGTGACTTTCGGTTAAAAGCTTTTCCACATTCTTTACATTCATACGGTTTCTCACCTGTGTGAATTCTCTCATGCCTGCTGAGATGTGACTTTTGGTTCAAAACATTTCCACCTCTTTTGCATTTATAATGATTTTTTCCCATTTGAGTACTCCAATGCATCTTGAAGTATGACTTCTTAAACGTTTTTAGACATCCATTACATGTGTAGGCCTTCTCACCTGGGTGAGTTCTTTCATGCATGCTGAAGGCTGACTTTTTGTGATAAGCTTTTCCACATTCCTTACATTCATATGGTGTCTTGCCTTTGTGAATTCTCTCATGCCTGTGGAGAGCTGACTTTTGGCTAAAAGCTTCCCCACATTCTTTACATTCCTTTGGGTACACACCTGTGTGAATTCTCTGAGTTGTCTTCAGATTTGACTTTTGGTTACATTTTCCACATTCCTTATAAATTCTTTGATACTTACTGAAGTCTGAATTCTGGTAGAAGGTTTTTCCACATCTGTTACATTCAAACGGTTTCTCAGCAATGTGAATTCTCTCATGTTTTTTGAGTTTTGACTTACAGTAGAAAATTTGACTTTCTTCACGCTCATATGGATTCTCACTTATGTGAATTCTCTGAAATAGAGTAAGGGCAGAATTATGGTAGAAAAATTTTCTACATTCATTACATTCATATGATTTTTCACTTGTGTGAACTCCCTGATGACAGTTGATAAATGCATTTTCATCAAAGTAATTGCCACACTTAATAAATCTATAGGACATTTCCTCTGTGTGAATTCTGTGATGCACAGTAAGGTCTGACTTCTGATAGAAAAACTCTTCTTCTTTATTACATGGATAAAGCTTTCTCCCTGTAGATGTTCTTTCATTTGAAGTAGCATATGATGTCCTAATGAAAGGTTTCTGACATTTGCCATATTCATCATGTTTCTCTCCTGTGTGTGTAATCTGATGTTGAGAAAGTTTAATCTTTTTATAGAACATTTTCCCACATATATCACATTGAAAAGTTTTCTTTCCTACCTGAGTTATCTCTTGGGCAATGGCAGCTGACTTATCACAGGCTTTTCCATATTCATTATATTTACAGGTGGTCTCACCCATATGCATCTTCTCATATGTAAGTATTATTGGCACTGTGTTGGAGAACTTCCCTTTTCCACTAAATTCAAAAGGTTGCCCAGTCTGAAACCTGGAATGCTGACTTAGATTCTCAGGATGTCTCTGTGACTTCCCAATTATATTATGCTTATCAGATTTCTCTCCAGCATGCATGGCATCAGTCTCTGTAAGAAGTGTACTCTGACATACATTAAACTCCTCATGGCCCACTCCTGAATAGGTTCTATTACTTATAACCAGATTTAAAATATGCTTTGAACTCAAATTAAATGATTTTCCTAAATCAACTCTCTCCTCAGTTGATCGGTTCCCATTGAGGATTACACCTTGCCACAAGTATCTACCATGACTTTCTTGGCTGCTCTTAATTAGGTCATTAACTACCAGGACATCTGAAATGACAAAAAGAAAAAAAAAACAATATCAATATTTCATTTTATACTTTTGTAAAGGTAGAGAAGCTTCTCACAATCCTAGAAATAAACAACTTTGTACAAGTCAATAATGGGTATTGGTTTCATGAGTATATAGGGTTTTTTCCTACTGACAATGTTATGTTGTATTTATTTTCAAAAATTGCATCATGTTTTTCTTTGCTTCTTTATTCACTATTTTCTTTTCTAAATCAAGATAAAATATTTGATAAGTTTTACTATCTTCCTAATTGCAGTACTGAAATACTTGGTTATCATCTTCTATTTGTTTACACTTTTTAGACTGTTTTATTTTGATAACAATAGTGGTTTTCTCCTGCTGCTCTTTTCTCATTACCTTGTTTTGAATATGGCTACCTTTTCCTTCATTAGCTACTTTCAGATGCAGGAGCAAGCCAATTTTTTATTATATATTGAGGAAAATGACTTAGGTTAAGAATTTTGCATTCACATTATTATACTTTTTACTCTTCCATAGGAAAGGGCTACAGGTATACACTTGTATTGTCTTCCCAAATTCTGAAATAAGCACTTCCACTTGATAATTCATTGCTCATCAAAGCTTTGGCATTATGCACTGGAGTTTTGAATGATGTACTCTCATAAAAATGGAGTCTCCTGTATACCTCTCATTTTCTTTGTTGTTTTAAAATGATTTTTACAAAAAGAAGAGGAAAATACTAACTTCAACATCCACTTCAAAACAGCAATCTTAGCTTCTCAACTTGAAACCTATGGTTCACTTGGCACTAGCATCGAGTCTCCTAGTTCCTCTCTAAAATACAGAATTATCTTTTTCCATGCCCCTATGCTAGGTCCTCCTCAGTTACAGAATTTCTGATATGGTGGTATACAGGGCTCACAGGTGAAACTTTTTTTCCTAAGTGATACCCTGCACTACTTTGGGATTCTGCCAAGAATCTGCACCTGAAACAAGGGCCTCACCACATGCAGCCCCTTGACCTTGGAATGCCCAAGGTCCAGAGCAGAACTGTAAAAGATACTTTGTTTCTTTATAAATTACCGAGTGTCAGATAGTCGGTTTTAAGCAACACAAAAGGATAGAGTCTGAAAAACCATATCTATGAGAGTGAGGACACAAAGGCAACTGGCAATATTGAAAAAGTGACCAGCAAAAATAAATGTCAAATGTGAGAAACGTAGGGGTTATAATTTAAGAAAATATATTTTAAAAATTGCGCACTAAAATATGGAGATATGTATACGTGAGTCCATCTAAAAGATTATATATGTATTTGATGCATGGAGATGAGCCAGCCTCAGCTCAGGGATCTGGGGAAAAATTGCTAGAAACAGCTGAACACAGCCAAGATCTGCTGGGTTTTACTTTTCCTGGCCTCTGCACAGGATGTGCTTACTAACCTGGGAGGCTCTGGTTTGGGTGTTCTTCTATCATCCGTGGCTCTGCTCCTTTCTCCAACCTGAGGATCACTTCAGGTTCACTAATGCAGTACCCTGTTAAGAGGAAGTAACACAGGACTTTATAAAACTGCAAAGTGAGATCCTTAGAACAATGACAAGAGCTCAGCTACAGAAAGTATGCAATAAAGAGGCCAACTGAGTCTTTTCTGAGATAAGGATGACATGTTTTTCATGAAATATACTCTTACCAAATAGTGTAAAACCTTATAAATTGTTCCTATATTAATTTAAAAAACCTGTGCCTCCTGAATGTTACTGAAGAGTTTTGCTCACCCAATGACACCAGGCTGCTGTAGGTCTCAAGCATCACATCCTTGTACAAAGTCCTCTGAGCATCATTCAAGTCCTGCCACTCCTCCCAGGTGAAGTCCACAGCCACATCCTCAAATGACACCAATTCCTGTAATGGCACATTGATCTCAATTCAAGCCACCAGCCCTGGGTCACAAAACAGGAATCTCAGAGTTCACACTTCTGTGTGTGTGTGTGCGTGTGCGTGTGTGTGTCTTATGTGTTAAACAAGATGCTTCTTTTTGGTACTCCATATGGTGGAGAAAAAAAAAAACAGCAGGAATATCCTGTTACTGTAATAATATAATTACTAAATATATGATTCCAAATCTTACCTTATAACTAATGACCATCCCTGTGGCTAGTGGCAAAAGTATGAATAAAATGCTTCTCCAAGGAGTTTATAATCAGGTATGAAGACATAAGTGTAAATTTATAACTGAATGGGGCCGGCCCGGTGGCGCACTGGATAGTGCGCCGCTTGGGAAGTGCGGCGGCGCTCCCGCCCGAGGGTTCGGATCCCACATACAGACCGGTTCCCGCTCACTGGCTGAGCGAGGCGCGGGAGCAACACCGAGGGTTGCAGTCCCGTTGCCCGTCCCCGGTCCGGTGCAGAGGCAACACTGAGGGTTGCGATCCGTTGCCGGACAAGGAAAAAGACAAAAGACAAAAAAAAAAATTATAACTGAACCAGTGTGTAAGATAAACACAGAAATATATTTTGCAATTCACTGAAATGACAAAGACGTTAAGCTCTTCCATGTGAACCACATGTTTTCCTTAATATAAGACAACAGCAAAACTGCCATCACAAGACCAAAGGAAGACACTCCATGTTAGTGGGACTACACACAGCACCATGTCTAGGTGAATGCTTGTGAGCTGTGATAACAAATACACACACTATTTAAAAAACTCATTATGAAATGATTCTGCTTTTACATATTTGTCTATTCCAAACAGTAAAGCATATGCAATTGTTTTTTAATTACTTATAAACTGAAGGCACATACAAGTGCTTTCCAAAATTTCCTTCCTACATATTAAAAAATTGCTTGTGTCTGCATGACTGAACACTGCCACTCTTTAAACCACAGGGTGCAAATAATGTAACTGATTTGTATTTCCAAAATCACATAACTAGATTTACAATTTAATAGCTATCCACTAAAAAGAGAATGGAAAGAACCTTAGAGTCAGATGGGAAGAAAACAGGATGATGGAAGACTAGCTACATTAGAACACAGAGCAAGTCTGGTCAGTTAGCTCACTTTGGAGAGCATGGTTCTGGTAACACTCAGGTCACAGGTTCGGATCCCACCACTGGCCACCCAGTAGGAAAACAGAAAAAAGAACAAAAAGAACACAGAGCAGTATGCATCCCAAAGACAGATGTAATACTACAAAAAAGAAAAAGAAAGGGAAATAAAATGCAGGAAGACACTGTGGTATTAAATTCCTGTGCAGAAAATAAAAGTGTTTTACTCTCAGGCTCTCTACATAATCATAGTTAGTTAGGTAGTGGCACTCTAAAGTGTAAATTGAAGAATGGCAGAATATGATGGGCAGAAATAAAGCAGACTTGAACACACTATACTTTAAATATCTGTGGGAATATCCAAATTGCAATCAGATACATGATTCCAGAGTTGAAGTGAAAGAGACCTAAGCTGAAGATAAAGATTTGAAAATTTGTTAGTCCATTTCCGGTGCTTATAACAACATACCTGGAACTGGATGATTTGTAAGAAAATGAAATTTACTGTTTGCAGACTCAAAAGCGGGGAAGTCCAAGGTCCAGTGAACATAGCTGGGGAAGGCTGTGGTGGAGACGACAGTGACCCAGTGGTCTCATATGGCAGAAAATGGCAGAGTAGAGACAGGCTAAGCTCTCACATGTTCTTCTTTTAAAACCCTCAGAAGCACACTTCTGCCCCCCATTATTAACTCATTCTTTATGGCATGATCTTACAATCTAATCACATCTTGAAGGCGCCAACTTTCAATGACCATAATTGGATTTCCCACTACCTTAACACTGTCAAGCTGCAGGTCAGGTTTTGGGCGGACATTCGGTACAAGGAAAGTATGAAAGTTTCAATGTTACTTGAAGACATCAGAATAAGTGAACAAACCTAAGAGAGTATAAAATAAAAAGAAAACAAACAAAAACCAAAAAATAACAAGGAAAGAGTCTGCAGAAGCACTTTATTGTTAATCATAAGATAGAGGAAATGAAAGACTGTAAACAACAAAAGGAAATGTACTAAATTTATTACACCATTAAAGGAAAGCTCTGTATTAAGAAGTCTACCAATAATATAATTCATCTTATATTTACTTTTATTATTATTTCTTTTGCATTTGGTCCATTTTGAAATCTAACATATTCATTGTTCTATCAATGAAATTCCTTTAAATAATTACACAGACATTATAAAGATACATGGTGGGAGGGCAAGTGACCAGTATAGGGATCAAACTATGGTCCTTGATATGACTGGCTCCATACTCTCATGAACTTCATAGACTGAACACAGCTGAGGAAAAAAATCTCTTGGCTTGAGGATACATCAAAAAATTAAGAAGTGAAAAGCATACACACACAAGAAAAAGACAAAAAAAGAACAGAACTTAATATCTGAGGACAGAACATAATATCTGACAACTGATGGACAATGACAAAAGTTGTAACAAAAAGTAATGAAAAAAAAAAAACCAGCAGAAAAGAGATGGAGGGGAAAAAATAGAAGAAACACTTAAAACAATAATGTCTAAGAACTTCCACAATTTAACATCAAGCACAAAATCAAAGATCAAGGGAGTTGAGATAACACAGAGCCAGATAAATGCCAAAAAGCTACATCTTCATATGTAGTTCTCAAACTTCAGAAAATGAAAAAGAGAGAAAAAATCTGACTGAAACCAGAGGGAGGAAAACACATCTTGCTTAAAAAGAAGCAAGATAAGAATTACTTCCAGCATCTCCTGAGAATCCAATAAGGAGAGAATTGTGAAATATTCAAAGTGTGGATTAAAGCAACCTACAACCCAGATTTCTGTACACTATGAAATCAAGCTGTGGAAAAGAAGAAATACTTTCTCAGGCAAAAGAAATTGAGGGAATTTGTTGCCAATAAACCTGTGCTGGAAGCAAAGTGGAAAAAAAATTCTTACAGAGAAGAAAAAAGACATGCATTAGAATCTGCATATCCATAGGGGGAATTAAAGAAATAAGTGAAGGTAAAATAAAAAGCATTTTAAGTTTTATTATTGCAACATAGTTGATTGTACATATCTTTGGGGTACAGCATTGAATATCAGTATCAGTGTGCAACATGTAATGTTCAAATCAGGACAATCAGCACATTACACAATGCAATCGATCCTCGTGGCCCTCCATCAACTCCTCCCCCCGACCCCCTCCACCCACGGCAACCCCAGCTCTGTTCCCTTCTCCCAAAAAGTCCAACATATTATTGTGATTGCTGCATCCCTTTTCCTCCTTTATTTATTTGTTCATTCATTCATCTATATTTTTATTAGCTCCCACATATAAGTGAGGTCATGTGGTATTTCTCTTTCTGTGCCTGGCTTATTTCACTTAATGTAATTTCCTCTAAGTTCATCCATATGGCTGCAAATGGTAGTATTTCATTCTTTTTATGGCAGAATAGTATTCCATTGTATAAATATACCACATTTTCCTTATCCAGTCATCTGATGATGGGCATTTAGGTTGGTTCCAACTCTTGGCTATTGTAAATAGAGCTGCAATATACGTGGGAGTACAAGTGTCCCTTTGACTTGATGATTTCCATTCCTTTGGGTATATACCCAGCAGTGGGATTACTGGATCATATGGCAGTTCTATCTGTAGTTGTTTGAGGAACCTGCATATCAATGGCTACACATTTTACCGTCCCACCAACAGTGCAGGAGAGTTCCCCTTTCTTTACATCCTCACCAGCATTTGTAATGCTC